ACACTTGAGAGTTCATAAACCCTCTGTCCTCTAGGAGTTTACAGTATATGATACACATTACAAATGACTACAGACAATAAAGAATGTGTAAGCAGTTGAACAAATAATGCATGATTACTCATTTAGCTATCATTTTCACAGTAGAAGATAGCCTAAAAGGACATGTAGTCAGTGAGGAAGAGGATTAACAGAGACAACATCATCTTCACCTCCAACTAAGATGGCAGAGAGCTGCCACTTGTGGCCCTTTGGTGCCAGGTAATTTATCTCTGATATCCTTTCCAGTCATGCAGGACCTTTTTGCCGTATTATCTATACATCTGGGGCAGAATCCTTACAGGACCTTGCTCTCCAGTGGTGAACTGTCACTGAAGTGGGAGGTCCAGTTTCCAGCAGGGAGAGTACCTGGAAGGCTTGGCTCTTCTGGTACAGTGATTTCTGTAACTTGAGGAAATTTATTCCAGACCTACTGCAAATGCTTGTGTGCTCACAAACATCACAGACAGAGCAGCAGCCAAAGCGAACTGCAGCCTGAGCATGGATCAGTGTAGGGTTGGAAACAAGCTAACTGGCCTGGCCTGAGTCACCTCTAGAGGGGAAGAATGTAGGACCTGTCCCAGCCTTTGTTGGTTTCCCAAATGGAAAACAAGGACCAGTGTAGGTGGGGTACTTTGAGGTCCTCATACCTTTCAGAGGACTGGTTCATTGTTTTCATTCTTGTTCTTATTGTTAGTAAGTGTAATAACAGTATTCATGTAACACTGCCTTTATTAGGAAGAATGAGGAACAGCCAAGGGCTGGAATTTTTCTTTACCTTCCCTGTGGGAGAGAAAGATAGATGGAGCATTAGGTTCCCATCTCGCAGGCCTCCTTTCTCTGATTATCCTGTGGGAAGTACCTGGAAAGCAGTGAGGCAGTGGAGGGAATGGTCCAGGTCTTGGCATGAATATGCGGTTGTGAAGGGATAAGACACAGTATCTTGTGTAGCTGTGGCACAGGTGCTGTGTTAGTAAGGGGCTAATAAACACAGAAAATAGTATTTGTTGCTGTCATTAGTTGCTTCCCTTTGCCTTCGCCTACATATGTTGTCTGATAGCAGAGCCGAAACTCCAGCATCCCTTTTTCTCCTCCTCTGTTTTTGATTCTTTTCTGACTTGAAAAGATGTATAATATATTCAATAAATAGGCTTGTGATGATATGGAAAGTTAAATAAATAAAAGTTCTAGGGGCTGGACGCGGTGGCTCAGCCTTTAATCCCAGCACTTTGGGAGGCCGAGGTGGGTGGATCACGTGTTCAAGAGATCGAGACCATCCCGGTCAACATGGTGAAACCCCGTCTCTACTAAAAATACAAAAAATTAGCTGGGCATGGTGGCGTGTGCCTGGAATCCCAGCTACTCAGGAGGCTGAGGCAGGAGAATTGCCTGAACCCAGGAGGCGGAGGTTGCGGTGAGCCGAGATCCTATCATTGCACTCCAGCCTGGGTAACAAGAGCGAAACTCCGTCTCAAAAAAAAAAAAAAAAGTTCTAGAGATTGGAAAACGTAAGTGGTGATTTCATTATGGTCTTTAAATATAACAAGTGTTATAATTGTAATTTTTGTAATTCCTTAAGCCAAAATTGCCTTATAACATGTCTTAGTTTGTTGTTGTTGTTACTTTTCATGTGTTTGTCTGAGCTTCCCCGCTGTATTGTGATCTCTTTGAAGGTCTAGATTGTGTCAGATGAGATGCATATGATACACTTCATGAATCGAGCCTCTTTGCAAATGATGCTGATTGTTGTATTTATTAGTGTTTTCAGCAATTTCCAGCACCTTTCACAATGTTTTTTTCCATGTGGTTGTCCCACAGATGTCATATACTTGATATGTCCAAAAGGGGCATTGTTGTCCCCCTCCCTGCTCCTGGACTGCCTCTTCTCGTATGTTCCCAATTTTAGTGAATGCTTTTCCCATCCATCCAGTGGCCCAAGCCAGAAACCGGGCTTCATGAGTGTATCCTCCCTTTCCCTCATCCTGCCCGGGCAGCCAATCTTTCACCAAGTCCTGTTAATTCCATCTCCTGTATCTCTCTCCATCTGTCATCTCTCCATTCTGCTCTACTGCTAATACATGAGTCCAAGGTCTTATTTTCTCTTACTTGGACTGCTGTGATTGATTTCAACTGGTCTGACTTCATTCTTTTTTTTTTTTGAGACGGAGTTTCGCTCTTGTTACCCAGGCTGGAGTGCAATGGCGCGATCTCGGCTCACCGCAACCTCTGTCTCCTGGGTTCAAGCAATTCTCCTGCCTCAGCCTCCCGAATAACTGGGACTACAGGCATGCGCCACCATGCCCAGCTAATTTTTGTATTTTTAGTAGAGACAGGGTTTCACCATGTTGACCATGATGGTCTCGATCTCTTGATCTCGTGATCCACCCACCTCGGCCTCCCAAAGTGCTGGGATTACAGGCATGAGCCACCACGCCAGGCCTTGACTTCATTCTTTTTTCTCCATCAATGTTTTACATTCTTACCAGAAAAAAACCTTCAAAAGTACAAAACAAATCTTATCTGTTCCCTGCTTAAGACTCCTCAGTGATTGCTGTTACCTATACTATATAAAGTCCAAGCATACAACAAAAAGTCTGTGGTGGTCTAATCCCTGCCTACTACTGTTAATTTCCTTGCATTTTTCTCTTGTTCAGGACAAAGCTGTGCTCAGCTTCCTTAGCGTGTCAGGCTAGAGAACATCTTTATGGTTTTCTTTGCTCACGCTTTTCCTTCTGCTTAAAATTTCTCTTTTACCTATTAGCCCCACCTGCCAGCATATTCCAGTTTATCTTTGTTAAGCACAGTTCAGACAATGTTACTGTTGGGAAGCGTTTCCTGACCTTCTCTTCTCACATGGTTAATCCTCTTTGCTTCCTGCTACCTCTGTAGGTTGTATATTTTTTTGATATGCATATCACAGAGAATGGTGATTTGGTTGTATATATGGTTATTTCTTCTTTATGCTTTGAAGCTCTGTACCCAGCTATAGGACAGTGCCTGGCATGTACAGGCGCTGGAGAAATGTTTGATGAATAAATGCTGTGCACACAGATTTGTTATACATGTTTACTTCATGAAATTGTGTCTAAAGATAATACAGTATTAGGTAATTATGGGAGAAATTCCAGTGAGCCTAACGGCAATAACTTTTAAACTGTTAGGATGGTATGCCATTTTTGTTCTTGAAGAATTTCAAGGAGAATATAGAACACTCTCATGGATAGCTTAATTCTTTCTTCATTTGCTAAAACCGGAAAACTGAACCAGATGTTCTTCTGGGGTCCCTTTTAGAGCTCTGACTCTTTAATCTGAATATATGGCTAGCTTTTCACCTATCTAGGATACAGTCTAAGATATTGAATGCTTCCTGTATACTAAATATATAATCTATCCTTCTCAGAGTTTAAGACCAACGTGTTGCTATCAGATGGAGAATTGTAATGTACAGAATATAATAAAGCCCCCCGCTTTTTTTTTGAGACAGAGTTTTGCTCTTGTTGCCCAGGCTGGAGTGCAATGGCGCCATCTTGGCTTAACAACTTTTGCCTTCCAGGTTCAAGTAATTCTCCTGCCTCAGCCTCCTAACGAGCTGGGATTACAGGCATGCACCACCATGCCTGGCTAATTTTGTATTTTTAGTAGAGTTTCTCTGTTGGTCAGGCTGGTCTCAAACTCCCGACCTCAGGTGATCTGCCCACCTTAGCCTCCCAAAGTGCTGGGATTATAGGCATGAGCCACCGCACCTAGCCAATAAGGGCCCTTTATACCATTTTCTTTCTTTTTTTTATTTTTTGAGACGGAGTTTTGCCCTTGTTACCCAGGCTGGAGTGCAATGGCGCTATCTCGGCTCACCGCAACCTCCGCCTCCTGGGGTCAGGCAATTCTCCTGCCTCAGCCTCCTGAGTAGCTGGGATTACAGGCATGCGCCACCATGCCCAGCTAATTTTTTGTATTTTTAGTAAAGACGGGGTTTCACCATGTTGACCAGGATGGCCTCGATCTCTCGACCTCGTGATCCACCCGCCTCGGCCTCCCAAAGTGCTGGGATTACAGGCTTGAGCCACCGCGCCCGGTATACCATTTTCTAATTTCCATTTCATAGGATTTTAAAACTGCATAAGCCTTTAACCTCCGTTTCTCAAATTCACTTTCCCCTTTGGAATGTTATAATTCTATTTCACCTGACTCCTGAAACTCCCTGTTGTCATGTAACATATTTTATTTATTTTGCTTGTTGTCTGAGTCTTCCTACTTCGGTGCACACGTGTGTGTGTGTGTGTGTGTGTGTGTGTGTGTGTGTAGAGACGGGGTTTCACCATGGTCTCAATCTTTTGACCTCGTGATGTGTCCGCCTCGGCCTCCCGAAGTACTGGGATTACAGGCATGAGCCACTGCGCCTGGCCGTACAACGCACACTTCTTAAAGAAAATTAAAAAAAAAAAAAATTTTGCCGGGCGCGATGGCTCACGCCTGTAATCCCAGCACTTTGGGAGGCCGAGGCGGGTGGATCACGAGACCATCCTGGTCAACATGGTGAAACCTCGTCTCTACTAAAAATACAAAAAATTAGCTGGGCATGGCAGTGTGTGCCTGTAATCCCAGATACTCAGGAGGCTGAGGCAGGAGAATTGCCTGAACCCAGGGGGCGGAGGTTGCGGTGAGCCGAGATCGTGCCATTGCACTCCAGCCTGGGTAACAAGAGCGAAACTCCGTCTCAAAAAAAAAAAAAAAAAATTTTTTTTTGTGGGTACATAATGGGTTTATGTATTTATGAGATACATGAAATGTTTTGATACAGGCATGCAATGTGAAATAAGCACATCATGGAGAATGGGGTCTCTATCCCCTCAAGCATTTATCCTTTGTGTTGCAAACAATCTAATTACACTATATTTTAAAATGTACAGTAACATTATTAACTATAGTCACCCTTTTGTGCTATCAAATAGCAGGTCTTATATTCTAAAAATACGCAACATGTCACGAATTTGTGTGTCATCCTTGGGCAGGGGCCACACTAATCTCTCTGCTGTTCCAATTTTAGTATATTTGCTGCTGAAGTGAGCACTAGAATGCAGACTTCTTAAGAATAGAGGTTTTTGGCTGGGCGCGGTGGCTCAAGCCTGTAATCCCAGCACTTTGGGAGGCCGAGGCGGGTGGACTACGAGGTCAAGAGATCGAGACCATCCTAGTCAACTTAGTGAAACCCCGTCTCTACTAAAAATACAAAAAAAAAAAAAAAAAAAAAAAAAAAAGAATATAGAGGTTTTTATTTGTGTATTAACTCATTCCCCTACCATCTAGAAGAGTGTCTGGTATAAAGTAGCTGCTCCAATAAATATTGAATGAATGAATTGGAAATGTTAAGTTAGTTCACTCTTGTTCCCCATAAGGAAAATAGGCATGGAAAGGAACAATAACTTGCTCAAAGTAAAGCCATATCTCCTTACCGGTAAGTGAGTTTAAAAAAAATTAAACCATGCTTAATCACTGTTCTTTTATATGATTTGGTACTAATGTGTATTATAGACTTAACTGTGATCTCTATGAAAAGGGGTGGGGAAGCAAAAGGGAAGAAGCTAATACATATTGAGCCCTTACTATATGCCGGGTATTTTGCCTTATTTATTTATTTATTTATTTATTTATTTATTTTTTGAGATGGAGTTTCGCTCTTGTTACCCAGGCTGGAGTGCAATGGCGCGATCTCAGCTCACTGCAACCTCCGCCTCCTGGGTTCAGGCAATTCTCCTGCCTCAGCCTCCTGAGTAGCTGGGATTACAGGCACACGCCACCATGCCCAGCTAATTTTTTGTATTTTTAGTAGAGATGGGGTTTCACCATGTTGACCAGGATGGTCTCGATCTCTCGACCTCGTGATCCACCCACCTCGGCCTCCCAAAGTGCTGGGATTACAGGCTTGAGCCACCGTGCCCGGCTTTGCCTTATTTATTTATTTTATTTATCTATTTATTTTTTGGGACAGAGTCTTGCTGTGTCACCCAGGCTGGAGTGCAGTGGCACGATCTTGGCTCGCTACAACCTCTGCCTCCTGGGTTTAAGCGATTCTTATGCCTCAGCCTCCCAAATAGCTGGGACTACAGGTGTGCGCCACTACTCCCAGCTAACTCTGTAGTTTTAATAGAGACAGGGTTTCACCATTGTGGCCAGGCTAATCTGGAACTCCTGACCTCATGTGGTCCACCTGTGTCAGCCTCCCAAAGTGGTGGGATTATAGGCATGAGCCACCTCCCTTGGCCAGTCTTATTTAATTGTCATAAATGACATCCTATGATAGTCCAGTAACCTTACTAGATTTTACAAATGAGGGAACTGAGGCTTAAGGAACTTAAATCACACAGTTTCAGTAAGTGACTGAATTGGGTTTCGAACACAGGCCTGATTAACTTCATTTGACCCTCTTTTACCTTAAGGCACTGGAAAGTTTTGGATTTTTTGGTCTGGGTTGCTTTAAGATTCCTAGGTCAGACTATTCTTGAAAATGTTCTGATTTCAACTATTCCAGTAGAGTTACAGAAATTGCTTAACTTAAGACAACCCATGGAGCAGGGGGGTTGTGTCTGTAGGGCTCTTGAGGAAAAAAAATAATCCTGTGTTGCACATATTCCCACTCAGTTACATATAATTCAGATTTCAGACTTGTTTTTGTTTTTGTTTTTGTTTTGAGTAGTTCGATCTTGGCTCACTGCAACCTCTGTCTCCTGGGTTCAAGTGATTCTCCTGCCTCAGGCTCTCGGGTAGCTGGGATTACAGGCGCCTGCCACCAAGCCCGGCTAATCAGACTTTCTTTTTAACCAGGGATCCAGAACAACTATAGGAAGGTGATTATGTAACATTCTTGGGCAGTGCAGCCACTTCTGTGTTTGGTAGTACTCTTTTTTTTATGTGAGATGGAATCTTGCTCTATCACCCAGGCTAGAGTGCAGTGGTGATCTCGGCTCACCGCAGCCCCTGCCTCCTGGGTTCAAGCAATTCTCTGCCTCAGCCTCCTGAGTAGCTGGGATTATAGGCGCCCACCACCACGCCCGGCTAATTTTTTGTATTTTTAGTAGAGATGGGGTTTACCATCTTGGTGAGGCTGGTCTGGAACTCCTGACCTCATGATCCACCCACCTTAGCCTCCCAAAGTGCTGGGATTACAGGCGTGAGCCACCATGCCCAGCCGGTGGTACTCTTAAGCACTAAGAGCACAAACAAAAACTCTGTCTAAAATGTGGGGCAGGAAGAGGAGGACAGGACTAAACCCAGTTGAAATTAGCGGTTTTAGTAAGTGGGTAGATCATAATTACCTGTGTTGCTCAGAGACCTAAGCTGAGAGTCGGGGTGGGGAGAGGGCACACTCACCTTTGGAGAAATGATGAGAGTAAATAATCCTTAGTTTCCAGTTTATTCCAGAAGCATTTTTGCCATTCAGAGTCACAATGGTGATGTGGATTTTGAATTGGACCTTGTTAACCGCATATCATCCAAGGTTAACGTAGTTTCCTTAGTTTTCCTTAGATACCACAGCCATTCATTTTGAATGCCCTGCTAGCTTCCTGTTAGGTAGTTTTGTGTAGCCTGCCTTAGAAAGGAGGGTGGGGTCTCAGCTAAGTGGGCCAAGGAGGGGAGAGGAGAGAATAGTGAAAGTGGCAGAAAAACAAAGTACTAATTAGGAGGTTTCGCAGTCTTTTGGGAGTAGGTGTTTTTCATTAGCTGATCACTGAGATCAAGGATGGAGATGGTGATACAGAAGGAGGGGGATTTTTAGGAATCAGAAGCAGAATAGAATAACTTTGCATGCAGTGGTGGTCCAAGGAACAGCAGCATCTGCAGCACCTGAGAGCTTGTTAGATTTTGAGACAGAATCTCACTCTGTTGCCCAGGCTGGAGTGCAGTGGTGCGATTGTGGCTCATTGTAACCTCTGCCTCCTGGGTTCAAGCAACTCTAGTGCCTCAGCCTCTTGAGTAGCTGGGACTACAGGTGCATGCCACCACAGCTGGCTAATTTTTGTCTTTTTAGTAGAGATGGGGTTTTACCATGTTGACTGGACTGATATTGAATTCCTGACCTCAGATGATCCACCCGCCTCAGCATCCCAAAGTGTTGGGATTACAGATGTGAGCCACTGTGCCCTGCCTGAATCAATTTTAATTTTATCAAGATTCCCAGGTGATTTTTTTTTTTTTTTTTTTTTTTTTTGAGGCGGAGTTTCGCTCTTGTTACCCAGGCTGGAGTGCAATGGTGCGATCTCGGCTCACCGCAACCTCCGCCTCCTGGGTTCAGGCAATTCTCCTGCCTCAGCCTCCTGAGTAGCTGGGATTACAGGCACGCGCCACCACGCCCAGCTAGTTTTTGGTATTTTTAGTAGAGACGGGGTTTCACCACGTTGACCAGGATGGTCTCGATCTCTCGACCTCGTGATCCACCTGCCTCGGTCTCCCAAAGTGCTGGGATTACAGGCTTGAGCCACCGCGCCCGGCCTTCCCAGGTGATTTTTAATTTTTTCTTGAGTCTTTTCAGAGTGTTACTCTGTTGCTCAGGTTGGAGTGCAGTGGTGCAATGACAGCTCACTGCAGTCTGGGCTCATGTGATCCTCCTACCTCAGCCTCCCAAATAGCTGGGACTACAGGCTCGTGCCACCATGCCTGGCTAATTCTTGTCCCCCCCCCCCCCCCAAGACAGTCTTGCTCTGTCGCCCAGGGCTGGAGTACAGTGGCGCAATCTCGGCTCACTGCAACCTCTGCCTCCAGGGTTCAAGCAATTCTCCTGCCTCAGCCTCTAGAGTAGCTGGGATTACAGGCGCATGCCACCACGCCTGGCTAATTGTTATTTTTAGTAGAGACAGGGTTTCACCATGTTGGCCAGGCTGGTCTCGAACTGGCTGGTCTCAAACTCCTGACCTCCTGATCCACCCACTTTGGCCTCCAAAAGTACTGGGATTACAGGCATAAGCTACTGCGCCCGGCCAATTCTTGTATTTGTTTTTGTAGAGACGGGGCTTTGCCTTGTTGCCCAGGCTGGTCTCAAGCTCCTGAGCTCAAGTGATCTGCCCACCTTGACCTCCCTAAGTGCTAGAATTACAGGCATGAGCCACTATGCCAGGTCCCCAGGTGGTTCTTTAATTTGATTCTGTGCCCATTAAAGTTTGAGAAGCACCAAGTTTGTGATTAGATGATTAGTGCAGGGGGCTTTGGAATTGGACAGACCTGGGATTGAAACCTGGTTTGTCCATTTACTACCTTTGTGATTTTAGATAAATTATTTGAACTCTCTGTGACAGTTTCTCATCTGTATAATAAGAACTCCCTATTTCATAGGGTTGTTGGGGAGAGTAAATGACATGGTGCATTTTGCAACTGGAAGTATTTTTTGGATTTAATGAAATTTAGTAATGTCTGTAACATGTTAAGCACTGAGCCTAGCACAGCCTAGCATATTCAATAAGTGTTATTACTAATAATTAAATTAGGCAGATTTGCAGAAATAAAGAGACTTTGTCCTCTTCCTCTTTTTCTTTTTCATTATCTCTCAAGTACATTTATCTGCAGTTTTATAAAGCTGTAGTGTGTGTATACTCTGGTGTTTTGCCTAGCATTATTTAATGATAGTTATAGTAGCAGCATTTAACACATCTTGTACTTAATAATGTGCCAGGCATTATTGTTATGTACTTTATGCATATATTATTTCATTCAGTGCTTAGAGCAACCAAGTGAAATAAATATTATTATCTCCATTTTCAGATGAAGAAACAGAACAGACAGGTTAAGTGACTTGCCCAAGATCACATAGCCAGTCAATGGAAGAATCAAGATTTGAACCGGAGCACTCTGATTCCAGCATCTGTGCTCTATTTTTCACGTATTGCTATTGCTGTCAAACTTATGTGGTGTAATGGAATCAGGCAACTTTGATTGGATACTTGATTCTGCCACTAATTTATTTGTGACCTTGGTCAAGTCACTTATCATCTTTGGGCCCATTTTCTTATTATAAAAATGGAGGGATTATCAAACTTGAAGAAAAGCAATTAAACAAAAAAATACAAAAAATGAAAAACTCCA